ATTTTCTTGTACATAGATTTTATAAAGTTCGTTTAGAGTCTTTCTTGAAACGTAGTTAGATCGAAAGCGTAGCAAACCATACAAACGTCTCCCTATATTGAAGGCAGATAAAGATTGACTAGAAGCGTAAGTCGCTTATCAATCGCAACATCTGGGTGTTTATGTTGGTTGGCCTTCATAACGGTTGTCTCATTCAAATTATATGCAGATGGTCAACAGATATTTCTTCTTAATAATGCCTCTCCGATTGCTTGCCTCGCAGTGTCAGCATTGAAAGAAAACCTCAAGACATTTGCCCAACGTTTGATAAGATCCACGTCGAGATTCAGATTCGTATTGCGCTTATTTGGGTTTTGAACACCATAAATATTGATGTGCTCTCGACAAATAGTTTAAAAGTGCATTTTAGATATGCAAATAAGGAAGAAGAGGGGACCTAAGATCAATCCCTGTGGAACTCCTGCTAAATTTTGCCTCGTGGTGCTTCTTCGACTTCAATTCTGCTATAAAAGTGTAATCTGCTATAAAGCAATGAACATATGACTTCAGTGGTAGAAAATTCAGGGATGTGGGGAAGGGGCGAGAGCCCCCAGATGTTGTTGAATTATCAGATGTTGATAATTGCAGTATTTAAAGCTATAGGAATAAATTCGCTTCTCAATGACGTGTTGATTGCTATGAGCATTACGTGCTAAATACTAGCGCTGTTCTTCTCACAAAAGACGCAATTTAAAACTAACAAGAAAAGCAGCTGTTCAAAATTCAATAATTAGTTCAGCCAATTTTGAGCACTTTAGACACATCTACATTTTTTTCAGCAGCACCGAATATCCCTACCAGTTAGCATAGCTACTGATATCTACATGAACAAATCAGAGCTACGTCTTTTAGACATAACATGAAAACCGCATCCAGACAGCCTAATGTAAGTTAACAATGAATAATTAGAAGCCACCACAGGTTTGCATGAAAAGCCATTTGCTAACCTCAATCTCTGCAATCAAAATACTGGGTGAAAACGATGTCACCAGAAATAACAAAATCTAACGATATAAATCATCCACAAATTATTTGGCTTTATTCAGCCCCTACAAATGATTCTCTGCGACAGTTCATGGCAAGTCATCTTCAGGAACACAGTGTTTTCTCACTGCGGCCTAAAGAATTGTCAAAGAAGTCAAAAATGAATATCCCAAGTTAATTAATGACCGGGACGCGAGGAACTAGAAATCAGAATGTTCCTGACATTTCTTTAGCAAAACTCATAGCATCCAGACATATCAATACACTGCCACACAGTGGATTCCATTCGTTTACAATCTAGTCATGAGCGATGTTATATTTTAGAAATAAAGGTCGTTTTGTATATACAAGAATAAAAGTGACATTGATATATATAGCAGTTGAAGTTTCATACATTTCATACTTCAAAATTTTAACTTAGGTCGGTCGGTCGGCCGTTGCCGTTTGCACGTAATTGACAGAGACAACCAGAAACGACATATGATAGTGAAGCCGGGTGGTCACATTTAAAGGAATAATTTGCTGGCAAAAGCGCAAGATTGCTTATCATAAAGGAAATTTAGAGCAAAATTTATCTGACAAACGTTGGCTGTCAGATAGTTTTGTAGAAGATTATATCGAGTTTATTTTTGTTCTGACGTTGTTTTTGTTTGATTAGTAAAATGGTAAACTATACCACACTTTTCGTGCTTTAAACCTGGTTTCCATGTGAACACAAGGATCGCTTGTGTCGCGAGGATCACACAAATTTCTGACCAACAATCGTTGCTTCTTTATAGAACCTGTCTATTCAGTTTGGTAGCGACCGTTGCGTTGCCAGCGATCCCTGCGATTGAGATAGAAAATTTTATATCTCAGCGATCGAGGTGATCCTTTCACGTTGAATAGAAACGAGACAATGTCTCTTTCCAAAATCTTTCTCTTGAAATCAGTGAGTGAGTTAACTATTCAAAATGGCGTTTGCAACTTTCGAAAACTTAGATTTCACGGTTCCTAAAAATTATTTTCTCGGTCGTAGAGATGAAGCTTTTATGTTAACATTTGAAGGGCACCCAAATCTCCAGTATTAAAAATTTGTTAGCTTGTAACAAAAATCTTTCCATGTCTTTCTCATCATTTCGAAAATCTAGCACCAAATTAAAGTTTCACGATCAATGTGATGAATGGAAACCACACGACACAGGAATCACGGTAAATTGCTGATCACAAATTTGAAAATCAGAGCACGCGGGACACGCAAAACTCGCGAAGCATGCAAAGACACTTAGCACTCGGAGCACGCATTTTTCACGAGAATATAGACATTTGCACTTTTAAACTAACAGACAAAATAAGCTTGACAAACACGCAGCCATTTCCTCAATTTTGTTATCACCTACAGCTCGGACGCAAACATGTCAAAATAAAAGCAGCAAGATCTTATGGTGATACAAGCAAAGCTAAATGTAAATTTTTAACAAACCTCTAAAGTACTTTAAAATCATTAAGAAATTTAACATACCCTTCATTCGTAGTTGAAAGCTGCCAAAAATCAACCTGTTCCAGTTGCAAGCATCCAAAGCAAGTTACTATAAAAGAAAACAATAATAAAATGTCTGAATTCTACTATCAAACTTAAGTGAACGAAAACTAGGTATAGACAAACTGTTTTTGTAGAAACAATTGGCTAAATGTACTTTAAGGAAAATTGCTGTTTAAGGAAAATGATTCCTGGCACTTCTCTATAAAAAAGTTTGTACCGACATTTGCATTATACTAGTCAATCCTTTAAGACAAACAACTGGGAATTTAAGTATACAGTAAATCTTACTTTCCTTAATGTTTTCTGACTTTTACGTTTGTAGAAAGGAGAGGGTGTGATTTCTTTGCTGCAAATATTATTATCTATTACTTTTTTAGGCTCCAGGCGTGCTAGTCACGTGACATATTGTTAACGGAAGTTTATGCCGCTTGTGAAGTTACATACAGGTAAGGTCAGATAGGCCACTTGTCAAGAATATGCGTTGAATTCATTGTAAATCGATCATCATCAGATAAATCGTTTGAATATGTTTTTTTTCTCTTGACTCACACAGCAGATCAACATATGGCACCCAACGTGGTGGAGACGATATATAAATATAAATATAAAGATGTAACGTCATTAAAATTTTCTTCTTCGTCTCTTCCCTGAGATATGAGAAAAAGAAACAGCCATACAACATCCAAAATTTGTGAAAAAGGATGCTATAATATGAGTGTAGTAGGTCAGCTCCGTTTTCTACAATCCTTCACATAATATATTGAGACCAGTCATGAAATCATAACAATTTATTGACAGTAATCTTCTAGAATAGCGGGGGACGGGGGACGGGGATGGGGACGGGGACGGGGGACGGGGGACGGGCGGGGGACGGGGGACGGGGGACCATGGGGACGGGACGGGGACGGGACGGGGACGGGGACGGAACGGGAACGGGACGGGGCTGGGGTACGGGGACGGGACGGGGACGGGGACGGGGGACGGGACGGGGACGGGGAACGGGGACGGACGGGGGACGGGGACGGGGACGGGGACGGGACGGAACGGGGACGGGGACCGGGGACGGTCGGGGACGGGGACGGGGACGGGGACGGGTAGGAATGAGGATGGTTGAAGGGCTGTGTAACAAATTAGTCTGTCTGAAGCCTAAGTCAAAATTACGGATGATTTACGAAATCATCTCGATGGGTTTTCTTTTCGTAAAATATGCTGGACTGTGAAGCAGTCTCACAATTTTTGTGGACGTTTGTAGTAGCGCATTGCATTGCATTGAGCGAATTTCCAGTTGGAGAAGGGAAACTTTCTTGCAAAAATGAGGGGTGGAGATATAAGATGGGGATCTTTTAAAATTATTTGTTTGAGTGTCCTTTACCGAGACCGGATCTCTACATTTCTAGAATAGTTTTTAAAAGGAAGCTGAAGTCTTTTAGAAAATGTGCATTAATCATCAAATTAAAAGGTATTAAATCTATTTGATATTTTTGGGTAAACAAAAAGCTTTTCATTCACATCTATTACCTAAAAATTCAAAAGAACAATTAACTCAGAGCTGCCACATAAGGGGTAGTGCAGGGGTTTGGTGATTCCCAATAATAGAAACTTTAAAGGCATTTGACATGCATAAGTACAGCGAATGCAGAAATATCTCAGGCCAAATTGATCAGAGCACGTGCACAAGAAAGTATTTGGAAACTGCTCACATGAAACCACTGCGCGATGCTCTAGGATTTCACCGATTCGCAAAAAGGCGGAAACTGTTCACGTGTTTTTCTCTGTGCGCAATTTGATTGGTCAACCGCTCGTGGTCGAGTGGCTATAAGCCACTTTTACCTGTGTCATATGCCTTTAATCTTTTCTCCTTTATCTTTTAAAGAAGCAATTTCCCTGCTTTTCACTGCTCATGGGAGTAATACGTGGACATATTTTCCCAAGAAATCAATGTCATAGGCCAGAACAAATTTGGCAAAAATAAAGGGATCATCTCTTTCTGACCCTTACTAGAATCGTGTAAGAAATTCTTCCCTACCAGACAAGAAATAGCAGGAGAAGTATTCTCTCTCTTTACTTTCTAGTATTGTTCCTTCCGCTCAAAAGAGCTGTGTTCTTACCCTGTTCGTTTTAAATATATGTCATGGCATATGTGAATCTTGTTGGATCGTAGATTTGAAAATCAGCTACAGACATGGCTGGTTTTCTGACCACATTCAATAACCACACCCTTGTTTGTCGATAAATCGTCAGTATGCAGTCTTTCAAGAGATTTGCAACTGCCCCGAGATAAAGTGATCCCAGTTAGCCTTTGAGCTAAAATCCATTGGATAAGGTTATTCTAAAGCTAAATGAAATGCTTTAGAAATAAAAAGCTTTGAGGAAGCTCGTCAAATTTCAATTTTATTTACGCTGTATAAATTTATATTCAGAGAATGAAAACAGGACCAATGAATGTGGCGAAATTCACAACAATGTAATATGTGTATTAACAAGCCTCATTCACACATGTTATAAACAAGCAGACTCGATGTCATTTCATAGGAATATCATCATTTGTTATCATATCTATTTTCAATCTTGAATGACACCATTAATTACATTTGGTTATAAATACAAACGATTAAAAACAAACATGGTAAAGACATATTGGCTCTACCAAGAGCAAAGCTTTGAAACGTTCTTAGATTAAGTATGCCTTCACAACTATATCATACATCATAAGAAAGGGTGCAGTTTTTAGGAAAGGGGGGTTTATGGGGCCTAATCTAGCATAGAGCATTCCCTAACATCATAAAGCAAACGAGGCCGAATTTTTTCTAAAATTTCTTCAATATTCCCCTTTTAGTTTTAAACAGATGACTAAAATTGCTTTCATCGCTTCATTTTGATCAATTCCTACTTTTGACACAAATTAAAAAAATCTATTTCTGTATAAAGCTAAATTACTAACTAAAAAGTTTTGTGAGATGTTTAAGCTATGAGTAATTTGCCCTTTAAACTTGGCTCGGTGACATGCAAATGTCTTTATAAAAAATCTTTACCTAGAACAAGACAAACTTTACCTACTAGAACACTCAGGCAGTCTTCACTATTATCGTGATGTGACTTAAATTCTGCCAAAGAAAACAAACATCAATGCTCATTAAAAAATCTTGTTGAACTGACATTCTAAGGTTTTCTGTGTCATTTAAATAAATTCTAAATGAAAAATATCTTAAGCTAATTCGAAATATTCACACGTCTTAAGGCCTTACAATGGACGTTAGTGTATAAATTAGTCAAATTGCTCGTCATCACTGGTCACGTGAAATGAGCTGAGAAAATTTCCCGCCTATTTATTAGGCTCATCTGGCTTTGGGACTGCGCATTTGTCGCGAAAAGAAAACAAAGTTAGATTAATTTCTCCAAACATCTCTTGTTCTAAATAAATTTTGTTTGTACTTTAACTTGAACTCCAAATTCTTTGATTTTGCACTTATCTGGTATTGCAGAATTTCTTCATTGTATGAAATTCAGTAAGTCATATGAACAAATCACTGTGACAACTTTAAATTAGGATATTGCTTGGTGAAATGAAAAGGGAGGTGGAGGAGAGAACGGGAGATAAAATCAATGTGCAAACCTGTCATGAATGGATGAGGTAATAAGCGAAGGTTTGGCTGACTCAAATCTAAATTTGAATTAACTGAAAAACATGGCTGCCTTCACCTTTGCGTCAAGCTAACAATTCATCTACTTGAGGCCTGTTTATATGAGCAAATTTATCCCACCTCTCAGCCCATAATCTGGCAGGTGGGATAAAATCTTCGAATGTTTACATGCAGATTCTATCCCACCTTCCAGCTGTATCTGAAGAAAATCATTTCACCATCCAGCCTGTGTGCTGACAAAAGGGACGAAATTTGATCGCGTTTATATTATCATTTCATCCAATCTTCCAGTTTTATCCCACCTTCCAGTGCTCATATGGAAAAAACTCATCCCACCTCAGTGAGATCCCACCTCCCATGCAGTGGGATCTCACTTAACCGGACTGGCTTGTTTTTTATATAAACGCAAGACGAAAACACAAAGGATTCTTTAGAAGAGTGCGATATCACCTCTCAGCTCACAGGCTGGAAGGTGGGATGATTTTCTCCATAAAAACAGGCCCCTAATCGATCGAACTGATCAGCCAAAGCGGGACAATGGTACACAATAACACTCTTCCAACCAACAGTCGATGACACAATAAAATGTCCAACACAATGTCCAGAACGAGGTTGATTTCTCTACATTGTTGCACCGTAACCCCACGAAGTATTAGATGCCTGTGTGTGGTAATCTTGGAATTCCAGCATCTCTGGATTAGGATGAGTTGGAACATGCGGATTAACTTGCATACCATTCAAACCAGACATGTTCATGTAGGATGCATAATCCTGACTACTTCCACAGTAACGTTGGGAGTTGCTAGTTTGGGAGGACAAGTAGCCATGATATGAGGTAGAGCTTCCTCCTGCGCAGGGACTTAGGACTGGTGAAGACTGGAAGCTCCTTTGCGGGTCCGATATTGTGCTATATACTTTAGATGATGCCGGACTCCAAATGCTGCTTGATGATGTAGTTGCGTTGCTAGAAGTGACAGTGGTCTTGTAGCTTGAGCTTGTAGATGTGTTTGGGGTACTCACAGGACTGGCAGTTCCAGTTGATGCTGAATCACTGAGTTTATCACTTGAATTTGAAACGCTTGACTTTTTGTTTTTCTCCTTTTCTTGTTTGGCCTTCTGTCTGTGTTTTGCACGTCTATTCTTGAACCATACCTTTTTGAAAAGACATTGAATTACTTTCAGATTATCGCAGGGTATGAAGAAGTCTTCCTTTACACTAGCAATTCTATCTATTGATTAATCAAGATACATTTAACTTCTCTGAGATAGGGAATAATCGAGGTGTAGAAATAAGGGGGGGGGGTGGCTAAATCCTCAAAGTACTGAATTCGTTCTAAAACTTATTTCTGAAAGTGATGGCAAAGGCATTAGACTTTCAAATTTTTAGTCCAATATTTTTGTCGATGAATTTGGGGAAGTTCAGATAAGAAACAGGGGTCCAAAAAGGCCCAAAAGCACGTTTTTCTGACCCTGAGCAGAATGTCAAAATTTTGTTTCAATGTGTTTAGCATAACAGTGAAAATCAAATGAATACATCAAGCAAAACAAAGTCAACAGGTTATTTTCGAGGCACTATATGTATATTAAATATTGATCATATAAGTGCTGTTTCAAGGGCTTCAAGTAGGCTTGTCAGGAAATGCTGTTATAAAAATCAACGTGCAAATCCTTAGGGCGTACTGAACAAACCTTGTACATATATTGACTTGAAAAACAATACGGAAAAAGACCACCCTTTATGAATATTCACTGACAACGTATAGCAACATTGCAGTCATAATTCACGCACAAAATGATGATTAGAATTAAGGATGATTATTTGTTGTCAATCACAATCAGAGAACAGGTGCATAGATAGGAGATTAAGGCTCTTCACTACCATATATTGAAAAAAATTCTTGATTCCAGTCTAAATTTTTTGTTTCTTTTTCTGCGATGTATATTTTTACATATTTTATAATGATAATGTCGACAAAAGTAGTAATTATGATAAAATATAATGAGCATGCTCATGGTAATGATAACTTGATGATAGTGATAAATGTGCATCATGATGATGATTATGTTGTGGTTAATATCGTGATGGCGAAAGTGATATTTGGCGTCTGAGACGCAAATACGTCGACAAAGGCGTGTTTCTGTTAGGGAAAGCTGCTTTATTTGTTACATTGAATGGGCTTTCTTGAACATTCATACATTTGTTATTTTATCTAACAAGAGATAGTGCCTTCAGAATTCTGAGCTTAGATCCAGTGGCTGGCTTTTTGACAAGAGCCATAAAACAAAAACGACGAAGCCAGGAAACCATAAACAGTCTGTAATTAATCTTGCTTAATTTAAAACGTTTTATGTACAGAAAATAATCCTTCAAAGAATTGACCACAAAGATAAAAGGACAAGAATACTAGAATAAGCTTGTTATTTTTCTCACTCAGCAACAGCCTTAATATCTTCAACATTTTCTCAATCCTCATCGATGTTACATAAAGAATTAAAATAACGACCCTGATGCATGCTCTCCCCCCCTTTTAGTAGGCACTCTGTGGGTTCATGTCAATGGAGTCTGACATATAGAGTATTTCAATATATTGGTTCCCGCAAAAGCACTAAAACGGAAATGGCTGTAGAATTTTACAATTTCAAAAAGCATTTAAGATCTCGGAATTACCTTTAGCAAGATACATGTATAGCCGTCCAGTTCACTAAAGTCTACTTCAAATTCAGCTTAAAAGCATTTCTAAAGTTTTGGATGCCTAAACTCTTTTGTTATAAGCGAGATATTTTTCTGAGGCTTGTTTCATTTTCAAAGACTCGAGGATTGAGTGTTCCTAATCTTGTTCTTGTTTGAACATGGAGTTTTCAACAACAACGTATAAAAAATTGTTTCTAGGAACACTAGATAGCAATTGTGTATCTTTATTCAGTAGTGCGGTTCATATTTAGATAAAATCTTCCCTGCTTCATTAAAATTAGCGAAAATTATCAAAAAACATTGCTTCTCTTTTAAGTTTATTCTATGTTGGTGAATGGAGCCTGCTTAATAACAAATTGGTGCATGATACACTTAAAAGAAAACAAACAAATGTAATTATGTAAGTAATTTGAACAACATCTTTTAATCTTTAGCCTGATAAAAATTAAGTATCAGTCCTGTTTTTACATTTGATCAAAATATTAAAAAAATGATAGATAAAACATATATATTTTGGCATAAAGCATTAAAGGATCAAAGTTCTACTTACTTGTACACGCGATTCTGGAAGGTTTATTTTTCTTGCAACTTCCTCTCTCATAAAAATATCAGGATAGTGGGTCTTTGAGAACAAATCTTCCAAGATTTCGAGTTGGGCTTTCGTAAATGTTGTTCGTTCTCTTCTTTGCTTTCTTGGAAATGCTGGAATTACACAGTGATGGATTAAGTCTACTTTTGATTAAAAAATCCGTTTATCCTATCAAAAGCATAAAGCTTCTAATCAGCTACTATTTCAGGGAATTTGGTGTTACAATTAAACGTATTTTTCTCAGTTTTAACATTACAATATCGAGAAGTTGGATATTGATTTAAACCTTCCATCTCAAGAAGGTAACACATTCATATTCTATTTGAAAGCTCAATTCGTCCCTAAATGTGCTGAAGATTTTTATGCTTTAACAGTGTCAGCTTCAGCAACTGAAAGATGGGAAGGTAATGGATGTGTTCATTTGGACAGTAACTTTTAGTTTAATTTTTCTTCAGTGCTGTATAGCAAAATTTTTATTTTTCGACAGATATTGAAAAAATGTACCATTTATTAATGTAATCGTCTCCCATACCCATTGAAAAAGAAGAGTTGCAAAGATTCAATTCTATGATTTATTTTATGAGTACAGTTCTATTAACCACATTTTTGGAGAAGATGATCACATGTGCTATAGATTAAGAAGCTAGATAATTGAGTGTATCTAAACCCTGTTCTTCTTGTTTTGTACAAAGAGTTAAACTTTATGATGAAATGAAAAATCTCAGCATATTAAAGGATTGCTTGTATTAAAGAGCCTTAATTTTCTCTCTTGATCCCATTTTCAGCCACATGGTCAATCATTTCACATGCCGTGATTGAAATGCTGTTTGTTAGACACATACAAAGAGGCATTACCGGTGTGTTTTCTCCCATTATCGACGCTTCTCACTCCCCGTGTTCAAAATTCGCCCGACACAACGAAGTGGGTAAACATTTCTAACTAATAAAACCATGACAAAACTTAGAAAATGCATTCTTTAATGTCGCATATCGGTCAATCGCTTGGCTTGATGAGATTAATTATCTGTTTCTTAAAGGCACAATTACATGAAGTGAAAATGAGAGAAATTATTACTAATAGCCTAAAGACATTAATTATTCTTTGGGCAGAGAAAAAAGTCACATTTAAAGATTTGAAGAAATCGATTTGCTGTCATGAAAGATTTTATTGGATTAATTACTCGCATATTCCAGCTATGGAAAAGTTGAGATACATTGTGAAAAGAAAATCGTTTTAATTAATCCGCTATCGATTGGGATCCATTTGTATACCCTTGTTTTCTTCTTGGTTCCATGTTTTCGCAGTAATCCTGGTTATCTAGTAAAATTTCATTAAGTTCGTTGTTGGAGCACGCTGGTGTTTGGGCCTTACATCCAACATTTGGACTACGAAAACCTGATTTTCTTCTTATCCTGTTAACCATTTAACAAATCATTGTTGCAACCATTTTCGTCAATTTTTGGGTATATACCATAAGAGAAAACGGCTTATTGCATTATTTTTAAAACGAGTAGAGCTGCGCTCTTTGTAGTCTGTATGGTTACATCTACGTAGCTGTCTACGCTAACTTTGAGTATATTTATGACGTACGGAATGATAAAAAATAACCATTGCAATAAGGTATCTTTTGCTTTGCTTTTAATTAAATCGACCTAGTAAGAATTCCAAGATTAAGGCTACAGGTTCAGGGTTACGATTATTTGATGCTTATGAATTTGATGCCTATGAAATTAGTGTTTAGTAAATGCATGCCATCACCCTATTGCAACTAATAAGCAGAAATCTATATCTCTATTGAAATTTCTATCTACACTTTTACTTACAAAAAGGTATTTCAAACATTGACGTAGCGAATGTAAAAAGTTCAGGGGGCAAAGTATGGATCTTTCCAGGATATTTTTGCTTCCTTAGGATAGAACTGTCCGAATGGAACATAAAATGCGACAAATCATGCCTAGGCAGGGGGGCTGCAGCTTCCTCAGCCCTTATGTCTCCCACACCAATCATTATGCTTTTGTCGGGAAAGTACATTGAAAATTATTTCGATATTGACATTTTTAAAGAGATCTTTCTCAATAGATCTACTGGCAAGAAATCCTTATCTGTCTTCTTATTTTTGGATGCGAACAAACCTCTTTGATTTAGCAGAACGATTTATGACTTACGCTTACACTTGAGCTTGTGTCGCTTAATGTCTATTAACGACATCTGAAGGGGTCCCTCGGTGCATCATTTTTAAGATGACTTTGCAGCACAAGCTTCATCTGGAAATAAGCATATTAACAAAATCAATCTACAAGGAAGTTTAGATATAAACAACAGTTTTAATTTAACTTACCACAGCTTGGGGCGAGTGGGTAATGCAGATTGACGCTTGGGTATCCAGGAAAGCCCATACAATTTGGAGGCATTGGCGGGTATGATGGCATATTGTTGTAGGGCCAGGCCATTTTCAATGAGCGTGTAGCAAACACGTTGTAAATCCTGGGCTTAGTCGAAGATTTACAGCGAAAATGCGACTAATCCTTTGTGTGTGGAGATCTCTTGTTCTTTTGCAGACCAATTTGCTGTTCACACTTTTGAATATCTGCAAAGAGAGATAACATATGAGAATACTCATGTTTAGGATTCTTTGGGTGTCATCACTTGCAAATGACATGTCCTCCCTCCGCCCATTGATGACACTTGGACAACCACTCTCGGATGTGTCCACTCTCACCAGCGTCTGTCAACATAACACCAGTCACATGTAGCAATGTAGTGATAAAAGGTTGGTTATTCACACCTCACGCACGGTGATGTATTGTTATGTATGCTTCGAGGGTGGCGATATCGGGATTGGAGGGTCTTCGCGGTGAGACAGTTTCTATATGCTGCTCGTCCTACGCGCCTTGGCTCTTGTTTCGTGGGCTTAGTTGCTAAACGCTTTTTAAACTTTGATTTTCAAACGTTTTTGAAACTGGATGATTTTAGAATTTTTCACATTTTAACTGTTAGTTCGATTCACTACTAGAAGGAACTTTATTTTCCTGCATTTTTGACAAAGCCTAAGGTATTTCTAAAACCTTGTCAAAAAAATCACCTTTGAAAAAACAGACCCGCCTTCTAATTGCCGAACCCACACCATTCCTGACTGAGGTAAAACAAAGTATGTTAAAAGTCTAGATTTTGGTAGTGTTTGTAAAAGATATACAAGCTTTTTAATTAGAAGCCACTTTATAAGGAACCTACTTGCCTAAGGCCGAAAACTGTTCAGAATTTCGATGCTTTTCTTGCGTCTGTGCTATTTTGACGGCTCTAAATGTGTAGTTACAATCAAAGAACAATCAAGGAACTTTGGCACTAAAATTTAGCAATAGTGGTCCGAAAATAAGGAGTTTTGGTTTTTAGGAACTGGACCTTGAGCCGGGATCTTTATAAGAAAACGTGGAAATATAATGTGGAAAGCAAATTTGAAGACGAATGCGCCATTAGAATTCGTACAGCTTCTCTAAAAAACGAAAGAATTTTCCCTTTTTACATTCATGGAAAATGTATTATGAAGCTTCTATTCATTAGAAGCTCTGTTGGCAAAACTCTGTTGGCAAATCTTGTTGCGGCTAAAACGTTTTCTGATAACATACTGCAATGGACTTTCCTCTTCATCACCTAAGAGCGGGCAGTGCATTCTGGTCTTTTCAGTAATATCCGTGAACACTTGTTTATTTTCTCTACGGGAATCACACGGTCATCTATTGTTATTGGGGACAGAACCACAAAATTTCGATTGCAGGAAAAGAAATCCAAGTGGAGAAGCGGAGGAGCTGAAAAGTAGGAAGGGTGTTCTTCTCAGATAGAAGCTCTGCCGCCTCTCCGCTCCTATCTTCTATATCCGCGCCCGAATTTATGTAGCTCTGGTACCCATGTTAATAGTTTTGGCAGTGAAGAAAAGTATTTTTTTGAATTTGCAATTTCGCCCTTGTTGATAATTCCTCTGTAAATTAAGATAACTACGTCACAGCAAAACAAAGTAAAATGTTGCTTTTTTGTTCATTGTATAGCAGCATGAGTTTCATGCCTATACTTAGAAAGTACCATCGACTCTAGTTCTGCAGTTCTGCAAAGTACCATCCATAGAATCAGAGTTAGGAAAACATCACGGCCCCACAGCCACTCTGGCCGGAGGAAAGTTGTAGAAACAAAGAGAAATTGAGGGAAGTGGCCGCAAATGTTGTAAGACTGTTATGAGTTCAAGTGCTTGTAGGTTATTTCAGGTAAGCACATGTGCCTTAAAGGCATCGTGCCAGGTATTACATTCACCTGATTATACAATCAGTAAAGTTTACCTCTAATTCTAGAGAAATGGAAGAAAAAGAAGAATATCGGCGAAGAAGTCGAAGGGCACATATGGCGGTCTTTGAGCCTGCCGTGTCCTGGGCACTGCAGTGTAGATTTTTACTACATATAAAAAAAAATCAAAGATACAACAAGAAGTATCATATTTCTAATGTTGTCTTCCATCCACAACTGTATGGTTGTCAGGAATCTACGCCCACGGTTATTCCTCAGCAAAGCATCAAGATCCAATCAATGGCTTTACCAACAACGAACAAATCAACCTCGACCAATTACTACTCAAGTTGAAAGTAGTCACTAATAACACTAATATGAGGAAGTTGAACAAATCTCATTGCCTTTTGGTTTTCAAAATACAGCCATGCAAAAAATTGAAAAAATCCAAATAAAATCTAAAAACCTCCTGTTTTTAAACATGAATGTTTTTGCATAATTGCTTTGCACTGTAATTTTGGTATTAATTTTTATAAATTATGTATTTAGAATATTATACGATTTTGTTATCAATTGATAAATGCAATTGATATTACATCTGTCTCTAAAAAAATATATATAATTTAAAACAAGCTATAATTTTTAAAGATGTGCAGACTTGCAAGGATAGGGGATCAAGACTAGTTGAGTACCCCTTTTTCTGATCACGCCCTTTTTAACTCATTAAAAATGAGGAAGGTTTTATAGCAAGATTTTCTTCACCGGAGGAAGGTTGACAACTTTTTGGTCTCAGTATACAATCTCATGGCGTTGTTAGGCGCAATTTCCTATAAATGCAGACATCATAAAAACTGAAAATTAAATTTGGATCATCAAAATCAAAGAAAGAAATAAAAAGTGAATTGAATCAATTTCACACTCCTTGAGAGAATACCAGAAAAAAGGGTTTAGGTCCTTGGGTCCTTGTAACCTGACTGAGAATTGCTAGGATGGTAAATTCGCACTCAACGGCTATCACAGTGACTTAGGGCATTTAGTTTTAGTCGCCAAACCAAAGCTAGGCCTTTTTCGGTAAAGCGAAAAATTCAGATTTTCATGAGGCAGATGAAGACTTAGCAAGAACGCCTAAAGCCCTTGTTGTTTTTATTCCGACCACTATAAAATCGCTGATTTGGTGGTTACAGTCGAAGAAGTTTGAAAAAATCTTAGGAGATAATCGGTTATAACTTTCTATACAGTTCAATATTTAGCACATCACAAAGATGTAGCTGTAATGCCATCAATAGTTCAATATGTCATTGTATTTTATATAGAATAGACAAACTTGTAACATGGAAGGTTTCTAGACAGGGCATTTTATAAAGAAAATTTGAGCAGTGTTGATTCTATTTTTCAAAGCAAGTGAAATGAAAAGATGTTGTGCATAGCTTTGACCAACCACATAGGAATCTAATGTCATGCAAAACCACTTAAGATATCTTAAAGAATGTCCGCTTTTCATTGAAGCCCAGCCCATTGAAGAATACAAAAATATTAATTTCATTAACTAAGAATGCCACTATTTATAGCAATTACAGTTGAATTTTATTCTGACTCCAAAATGATGGGATGAAATTCATCACCCTTTATTTTCACCTTTAATCCTAAAACTGAGAAGTCAAGCCAACAATAAAGGTCATCATCACTTCAAATCGAATGTGGCAACCATTTCAAAGAACGTTTTAATCGTTTTAATTACGTTTTACAGTAATTGTAATCTTCGCTCTGCTAACTTTCAAAATAAGCCAAAAGGATGATCAGCAAAATACAATCTTGGATACATAACATGCTTGTAGCCCATCAGAATTAAGTTGATACATTTAGAAACACAAGGCCCGAACAGACACTCATTACCGAAAGCAGATATCCCAGATATGGCCAACGTGTTAATAGCATCTACCACTTAACGCTTTTTATACAACGTCTTTGCTGACAAATCTAACTTAGACATCCCAATACTTCATGTATGAGCACGCCAACCTCTCTTGAGCTAATATGTTACCAAAGCTACCTCACGTGGTTCAGCTTCTATACAATGGTCAGTTTCAACACGAAGGCCTTTACCAACGCAGTATACAGCAGTGTGCACTCACAACGCAGTTTCTGAGATGTTTACGTCAAGTTGATTACCGTTTGAATAATTCTTGAATCATGAAGACCTGTTTTGATTTTTCGTATATTAGAAAGGCTGACGATTATAAATAACTTGAAGAAGGACATTTAAAGAAATTTAAAGAAGAGCATCACTACATGTTTGAGATTAACTTTTCTTAGATTCAAACCCTAACAATCGCATTTTATCATTTACTGAAGCTAAAGATATGCATCCTTTAGTGAGAAAAGCTTTAACAAAATTCACTTGTCATTGCTAATGAAGAACTTGAAAAATAAATATGAGATTTCTGTCAATTTTTTCCCTAGAAAGCATGGCAAGAAACATTAAGAAACATATGAAAATTAGCAGAGCTCTTCGTGTCCATTTAGTCTTAACTTCATTCACATATCCTGTGAAGCCAGGTGAGTCTTTTTAGGATAGCTACTGACCAGAATTGGAATGACGTATGACAAAATAATAATAAATTGGCAAAAAGCAGTATATTGAAGTTCTAAAAATATTTTCCTAAGAAAAAGTTCAAATTACAACGAAAAGAAAAATTACAACCTGAAAGATTTCTATCATATTTGATTTTCGTATAAAAATGGTACATTTAAAAGAAATAAATTGCTATGAAAACTGTGAAAATAAGAAATATATTAACCTCCTAAATAGACCACTCAACTGACAAGAAAGATAATGTCAGAGATTGCTGCTTTGCAAATTTTTGTGCCTAATGCTGAGATTATCGTAATAATAGGTCCGAAAAAGAAACCTCATTAATGTACTTCAACTTATTGAATCCATTTCTAGATTTATTCGGTTTAAGGAAACACTTAAAAAGCAAAGAAGCCAGAGATGGTTTTTTGTGATAACTAGTACACTTTTCTACAATACTTAGTGTAGCAAGAGTGATTCTGGCCTCAGCGACAAATCATCATTCCTCATTATGATCAAGGTGTCAAATTATGCAATACTTATATACAATCAAAATTGTGTAATATTATTAGCAAATGATTATGTTTAATGTCTTTTAACTTGAGAAGCAGATTTTTGTATAAGTTTTGGAAACCAATGATTATTTTACCGATAAACTATTAAAGCAATTTTCATAACATTCACTAAATATGCTGGAAGTTTAACTTTTTTAAGAAGTTCGTCGTAATCTAGATAAGTCAATTGAC